GCAGCCATGCCGGAGACCCTGCTATGAAGGTATTTGTTCTTTTTTTGGATCATCATCACTTTGACACGCTGTACCAAACATTCTGGCGCCAGCCTCACAATCACCCGTTATGCACGATCCGGAGCTCACCTGGTCAGGTATTCATGTCCATGTTCATCCGGCCTATTCCGTCGACTCCCGCCCTCCCGGACACCTAACGGGTACGCAACCCGCGACGGATTCCCTCAATTGCCCCTCGTTCCTGTCCATCCATGTCCATCCATCCCCATTGGTGCGTCATTTCTCTCCTTTCATCACTCTGATCAAACAGCAGACTGTTTTACATGTACATTCCCATACATGAGGCCGCTTGCCGTCCCTTACATATTATCGCGCTACGGCCTCGCCTATACTACCGTCGCTTAAGTGGGTCCCGAGTTTTCACGGGTTAAGATAAATAATTGCATCGTACTCTGCCAATATTACTTCCTTTTACTCCCTTGGATTTACTGTCTAAGTTGGTGTGATCAACAAGTCCCCTTAGTCTTCCGTACCGCAACGGACCTCTTCCCGTTCCTCGGATCACTTCCGGTAGCTCGTTACATCGAGACCTCGACACCTAGACACCTTACCACCTCGATACCTTGCTACCTCGACACCTTGACCAAATCCGCACCGCTAGACACCCGTCCCATCAGAATCGTTCCCGTCCGGACATCTTCCTCTCACATTGGATCCCCCACCGCTCACCGGCCGCTCAGATCTTAAGCCCGTCGGATTGATTCCTTTGCATTTATTGCGAAGACATCCCTCAGTAGCAATCCCCTTGGGACGAGCTATAATACTCGCACTCAAAACGGATCGGTAGTCTACACTAACAGGCTACACGGAATTACTTTCGCTCAACGCGTTCAGGACTTCCTTCCCCGGTTGAAAGATCACGTTTTGGAGCGCCTTGATCTTGGGACTTCTGTAGAGAAGCACAGCGCCCGTTCCGATGAAGCCCGTAATTCAGTTCTCTTCAAACGTAATCGAATCTACCACCATCATATCGCCAGATTTAATTACACTACGTATGATGTTCGGCGGGCTCAGGATGTCGTGAACCCCAACACTCCTCATTGCAACATCATGTTGCTCCGTGACGACAATGACCCCAACGACAATTACCGCTACGCTAAAGTTCTAGGTATCCATCACGTCAAGTGGTTCGCACCGGGAATGTGTACGAATCCCTCCAAATGGACTTTCTCTTTGTTCGGTGGTACGAAACATTAAGCAACCATTCTTGGAACTCACGTACTTTGGGGCGCATGCATTTCTTACCCCTGGCCAATTCAAACGCTTTTGGCTTTGTGGACCCGGCAGCCGTTCTGAGGGCGTGTCATGTTATTCCGGCCTTTTCTCGAGGCCAGCGCAATCCAAATAGTGGCCCCAGTATCTCACCTCTCGCAGGAGATTATTGCGATTGGCATGAATATTACATTAATAGGTGAAAATCACACCATCCCTTACAGCTGTTTTTACTGATATCATAGCTGTACAAGCTTCGTTGATCGTGACTCACTCATGCGGCATCACTATGGCCTCAGTGTTGGGCATCTGTACTCTCATAGGGCGGGAGTGTTAGAAAGTCGCAGCTCAGCACTGCAACCTGTCAGTTCAACACCCGCTGATGAAAATTTGGAAAGCCTAATGGAACACACGCACCGCCCACATGCGACTGCCGATGATGCGGAAGAGGAGGACGAAGATCACGTTGGTGTGGAGGAACCAACACCCTTTGAGCAGGTGCACAATGGGAGTACAGAGACGCTTATAGAAGCCCTGGATGAAATGTATGCTGACCATATCTTCGATTATGAAAACTAGAGTTACATTACATCAATTTATCGCGGATGGGCGCAAACCGATTTCCTCGCTGTCTCGTGGCCGCTTCATCAAGTGCTGGCCAGGCTATGGCTCAGGCTGGCCAGGCTATGGCTCAGGCTGGCCAGGCCATTTGTTAGGCGCTGGCCATCTCTAACCCTTGTCTAATTCTAGCCAGCGGTCGATGCTTATTCCTTACAGTAAGCGATCCTATTGTATTTGTTTGTACTTATTTAAATCGGACATCAGTCTTACAGGCTTGCACTGTCCGTCCTCAACATTCAAACCGATCTCAATGTCGATAGTTTTACGGTATCAAGTCAGTTCAGCTCCTCATTGACATGCATCCTGCGTATCTGTACGTTCCCGAGAGCTCAGACGTTCTCAGACTACTTCAACTTCCAGTAAGTGACTCGGAGCTAATACTTATGTTGGACCATCGTTAATCGTTTCCCTCCAGCATGAGGAGGTTTGCCGTCTTTCGCTGGTGATTGCCTCAGCCTAATTCTCGCCTTCAGCACCCGTTTACAGGGTTCTCGGGCCAGTCTTATGTGGTAGTTGGATACATCGCCGACTACCATGAAGTATCTCCCATATATGTATGATCTCATCTTTGACTTTCGACTCACGCTGATGTTTATGTTTTGTAGGTGGATGCAACCCTCAAGGAGGCCAAGCCCTGGCTGAATGTGACCAAGAACATTGGGACCTTGGCTATTCTTGATGGGATGGGTCGCATCCAAGACACTCTCCCGCTGTTTGAAACGGTGAGGGATTTGTAGCATAAAAAGTTCGTTTTTGAAAGGGCGGATGTAGAATGCCGCTGGTGGTGCTTTTGTCCGGGCTGTGAAGACCCGACACTGCAGGTCGAATGAACTAGGCGTACCATGTCCTATGTGGTTTGTATGTTGTTGTCGTATACTAACTTATTCTCGCCTAACGGTGCTTCGGCAGCTCCCCCACCTGTTGGATGCGTCCATCCAATTCAACCCACCACAATATCCCAATGGATTTCCGCCCCCCGTCGACTATAATATCCATGAGATTCCAGTGCCTATGTACGGTATACCATCTGCGGTCTCATTGATGGACGGATTTGTGACAAACCCACTGGACACCATCCTGCCTACCGCTCTAGCCGAAAACATGCAGTTAACATCCTCTCAAAATACGGACATCGAGCTCGCATCCCTGCAATCACATGATATGCAGTCTGCGTCCCTCTCATTCCTTTTTGATTTCGGCAACACTGGCTGGCCACTAGCTTCTGCCGTCTCCGTTAGCGGCAATGGTGACCCAACCGTCCCAGATGATTTAAACCAACCGTCCAATGCCTGTACCGGCAGTTTAGTCCCCGCCGATACATGTTTGAATATTTATCCAGAGCTAGCTTGGAGGGACTCTACCGATCTGTGGGGTAACTTGCTGGAAAATGACAAGAGAAAAATAAGCCGTAAAATGCCGACTACAGCCTGGTTGCAGCACATGAAACTCACGAAGGCCCTCTTCTTGGGCAGTCTGTGGGTCGGACTCCACGGAAATCCATTCAAGATCTCTGCCGTGGAAATGCGCCGCCTCATTACCCTCAGTTTTCTTACCGCTTTGCGTATTGATGGGAAAACCTATGCGGAGGTTCTTGATCAGCCATGTGGGTACCTTATATTTCTAATCTTCGAGTCATGAACTTATAGTTTAATCAGTGACCTGGAAGAACGGCCCCAGTATCGGATGGCCAACAATGCGCACCACTGTGCGCCTTCCCTTGTCCTTACCCTTGCTCGCTTACCCCTAACCCATCTGAGCAGATGCTTCAAACTTTCGATAACGGAAAGGCTGAACTGCGCAAGGTTGTAAAAGCCTCCTTGATGCACCTCACAGACTTCTGTGACGATTCGCCAAATCATAGGGCAGAGACGATCACCGCATTTGTTAGACACTTTAACCAGGATATTCACGAGGTAAGCAGAAGACTTACGATTTGGATTGCGTTATTTTTTAATCAATTCTTGCGTCATTCAGTTGCAAAAGGTCCTCACCGAACTCATAGGGAAACAGGCATTCAGAGAACTGGTCTGGGCAGCATTATTTGTCCTGATTGATGATTTGACCAGCGAACACGATAGCGGGAGGATAGCGGACTTGTTTGTCGAGGAGGTCCGCACTGCATCTGGATGCTTGGCACAGGACACCATCTGTAACCTCGCGACATTGGTGAGCCCATCTCCCTCCATCCTTTCTCGTGCAATAACAATGCCTTTAGTTATATCAGTCAATGCTCATTCTCATGGTGGAATCCAGTGGCAAGACGGCGATTGCTGGCTTCAAGATGCACGTGAACATGAACAGTGACATCATGTTCGCGCTTACTGCAATGTATCTAAACCCGACGGAGTTTGCTCCCTTCATAAAAACAATACAGGAGCTACCTTTCATCATGTCAGTGTTCTCCCTGTCCTACTGGCTATTACTCATTGCGGTCTATGTTCAGGAGCGCAAACATACTTGATTTTGCTCCAAAGAGGAAAACTCCTCGACGTGTCGTGGTTGGGAAGGAAAAGAGAGCGAAAGTTTTGAGCGATATCAAGGACATCAATACTAGTCCATCAACTCAGACTGACCAACACGTCCTACCAAACAATGCAGGCTTTAGATCTTACAGGTCATTTTCAGATGTATCTTGCCCTGCTTCCTATTTCCAACCTCAACTTGAAGCAGCCGCAGTTTGAAATTCACATCTCACAGCTCTTATCCATTCTTGTACTTGTATATTTGATTGTCGTCGTCAACCTGTACAACACCATGTGTAACACTTAGGCCAGGCCGCCAGTTGGTCAGAAATTTTATTGTTTGTTTACATGCTAGGGATTCGCGTTGTGAACTTTTGACATTGATATTGATCCGCCGGTCACGTGACCATCGAAACCACAATTTCAAAACAAGCATGAACGGAATATACCGAAATGGCGTAAGAGTCGGTGTGCGCTAAATCGTCCAAGATCCATCTTTGTTTCTACCATCATGACCGCCTAGATCATCGACGGCACTACCATAGCCCAGTAAGTCATTTGTTATCCACATCCAGCCTGTCCTAATCAATCACGTGGTCTAGATCGATCCGCGATGATGTCGTGCAGAAAATTAAGGTGTTCTGAGCCCAGTACCCTCAGTTTCAGCCTCAGCTTGTAGTTGTGCAAGCTGGAGAGCGTCCCGATTCCACCACTTACATCCGTATGAAAGCTAAAGCTGCAGAGGAAGTCAGCATCAAGTTCAATCACGTCACATTCCCAGAAACGGCTACGGCAGAAGAGATCATCCAGGTCGTTAAGAAGCTTTCAGATGACGATGCTGTTGGCGGTGTTCTTGTTCAGCTCCCTCTTGGGCCCAATGTCAATGCGGACGATACACGCGCTGTCACTGAGGCAGTTTCTCCCGAGAAAGATGTCGATGGGTAAGTTGTTTTCATGTGGGAAATCACTTTTTCTGAGAGATCCAGCTTCCATGCGTACAACATCGGTCACTTGTCTTTGCGTGCTGCTTCCCCGTTGTTCATTCCATGTACTCCAGCAGCTGTTATTCGTTTGCTGGAGAACACTGGCATATCCATCGCTGGTGCAAACGCAGTCGTGCTCGGTCGCAGCGACATCGTCGGAAACCCCGTGGCTGCACTCCTGAGAAGTCGCGATGCAACTGTCACCCAATGCCACAGTCGCACCAAGAACATTGAACAGATCGTCAGTTCCATCTATTATCAGATATCATATCGCAACCGAGCAGCGCACCAGCGCACGAAAGCAGATGCCCTTGAATCCCCATGATGCACGATTGTCAGATTTTGTAACTTTCCACACATATGATGAGAATATTGCAATTCTAGATTGCCAACTGGCAAATCACCGTCGCAAATTCAAGCTTAGGCAACAAATGACCGTGATGCACAATTGTTATAGAGGTATTGTAATGTCTCACACACATGACGAGGATGTTGCAATTTTAGATTGCCAACTGCAAGCGACCATCACAAATTCAAGCGCAGGTAGCAGATGATCATTGTTCAGGAGAGATGCTAGCCTTCCTTCATTGATTTATCTATAAGTGCCACAGTTGTGAGACATGCATGTCTTCATCGGAATTACAATTTTCTTGTCGTTCGATGTCGAAATGCTTGCACTTAGGTATTGCTTTGTATTTGGATACAATTTGTGGATACTTTGTACGGTTTTGCCAAAAATATCTATGAAAAACATCACCAGCCCGATTTCGTGATGTAGTTAATTGTATAACTAGAAGTTACTTTGTTGAAATGATACTTGCACCCTCACTATGTCTTGCCTTAATCTCACTCTCCAAATAGTGGGATAGGTTTAGAGTGGAAGCTTGTCTTAAATCTTACTTCACCTGCACTTTGACTATGTCTTGCCTTAATCTCACTCTCCAAATAGTGGGATAGGTTTAAAGTGGGAAGTTTCAATGTCTTCTAGGCACCAATGGCCTGCACTTATGTGTAAAGTGGGAAGCTATATTCACAGGTGTAAAATGGGCTCCTTTTATACCTTTTGGGAGGCCAGATTACTAAGCATGACTCATCACATGGATTGGTAAGAATGTGCTTACAAACCATACCATTTGGTGTGCTGAGTCAGCTTGTTTACTAAGTACATTATAAATACAGTGTTATCTTACAAAGCATGATAAATCAAAGGTATGAGTCATCTCATGGATTGGTAAGATTGTGCTTACAAACCAAGCCTTTTGGTGAGCTGAGTCATCCTGGTTACTAAGAAGATTATAAATACAGTTGCAAGTCTTACAAACCATGACGAATCAATGACAAAACATGATGAGTCAGACTGAATCCTTACAAATCACCTTATTTCCCAGTCACATGACCTGATTACAAACATGATCAGTCAGCTAGTGAGAAAGTCTGATGAATAAGCCAAGAAAAATAGAAAGAAATGGAAGGTCACAGAACAAAATAGAAATACATAGAAATCCCCGTGTATGATATGAGAAATGAAACATGAGAAACGAGGCTTCAGAAAACAGACTGATGAATCAATGAAAAATGATAGAATCACTTGGTGATATGGTAGAGTACAGTTCATTATACCTTCCTTATCTTTTGTATAGCACACATGTCATGGTATGAACTGCATACCATGCATGACACCGCGTCAAAACCTGACATTTTTGTAATCCCCCAAGACAGTGCTGACTTTGCGGCAGCTGCTAATGCAATGGCCGATGAGTGCTACCTCCATCAGTACTTGGAGGTGTACTACAATATCCCAGCTAGTAGCAAGCGCCCCACTGAGGGCCCGCCTTTCTTCTGTGTCACTCGTGGCCATTTAATCGGCGTCTTTTCCAACTGGTGAGTACTAATTTGTTGCATTAGATGTTCGTGTATTTATCTCTGCACTAGGGAGACCGCATTGAATGCTGTCTTGGGCGTAAAAGATGCACAGTATTAGGAAGTAGATTCTATTGCCCTGGGTGAGAAAAAGGTTAGGAAGGCCATTGAGCAGGGAGAGGTTGAGACCGTGACGTCCTGGCAGTTCTGATGGCATACAGTTTACATATGGTATGGCACGTGTACTGTAGTCACTTGAGTTGCTTCCATTGTAACAGTTTGTTTGCCCATTTGTTTGTTGACTGGGCCATTGAGAATCATGTTGATTGTGAGCACAGGAGTTCAACGTCCAACGTTCATTGCTTTCCAGTGACGCGATCAGCACAGATGGCAATGCCAACATCTCATCAAGTAATCCAGGTCAGGGACCTTGGAACAACATTCAAGCAGGCCAATAGCCACCGCAAACGCCCACATTTGAACTCATACACTTCGCAGTCCAGTACACCTCCTGTATACACCTCAGTCACTTTCTCATCACGCCGTGAAGGTGGTATGAAGGCTTCGTGCCGGCATATTATAGGTGCACCACTATCAGGCGTCCCACTTCAACTGGAATCTGAAGCATCCTCAAGTTGTCAAGACTTCAATGATAATTTCGTCGGGGATGACACAGATTTTGGGCATATAGATGACGTGGCCATGACCGATGGCGCTGTACATTCTAAGTGTAAAAATCCCCTTCTTGTGTGGCTAGATGATCGTGACTACTATCTGACCGAACTCATTCGGATGGACGGCCGAGGTGACTACACCTCGGATACTTGCTGCCAATGCAACATCTCTGCTCCTGCTCAGTTCCGATGTGACGACTGTTGTGACATGCAGCTATATTGTCAGAACTGCGTTGTCGTCAACCATTTGTGGAGCCCCACTCACCGCATCAAGGTCTGTTTGCATTCATTTTGAGTGGTTGAGTTAGCATCTAATTTACTTTAGGAGTGGACAGGCTCATTTTTCCGGGCTACTTCACTCAAGAACCTTGGTCTGATGATCCAGTTGGGGCACGCAATTGGTGAAAAGTGTATTCTGCCTCACAAGGTATATAACAGCAGCTTCGTACTAATTGACACCAATGGAATACACGAGGTGTCAGTTGACTTTTGTGGCTGTGAAAGATCTCAGACGCATACCAAGCAGCTCTTGCGCATGGGCTGGTTCCCCTCAATGTCTATAGATCCAAGGTCTGCGGCAACCTTCCGGCTCTTGCAGCACTATCAGATTCTCTCTTTTGAGTCCAAATCCTCCGCGTATGAATTTTATCACTCGCTGGTTCGTATATCTGACAACACTGGTGTGGTTAAGAATGTACGTGATTTCCTAGGCTGAACTTGCATGAACTAAAGTGCCTCCGGTTCAGGATCGCTATGAACCCTTCATGTGTATGGTTCGCGAGTGGCGGCACCTCAAGATGTTGAAATGGTTTGGTCGTGGCCATGATCCAGCTGGTGTGCGTGGTACCAAAGAGGGTGAATGCGCTGTGCTCTGTCGAGCTTGCCCACAACCTGGCAAGAACCTGCCCTCTGACTGGAAAGAAGCACCGAAAGCCAAACAGTAAGCCTCGTCATGTTTGAATCAAACTAGGTGCTAATCACGCTCAGATGGCTGTATTCGTTATTTATAGCTATTGATGCCAATTTCCACTTGAAACGACGAGCAATTTCCAGCGATGAAGCAGACCCAAGCCTCTCGATGGGGTGGTCATACTTCGTAGAAGAGAAGAAGTTCAAAGCCCACCTCAAGGAGCAATTGTCCGAGACGCAGGAGGTATGGACACAGTTTGATCTTCCATAACACGTCGCTGAAAGCACTTTCACAGAAAAGTTCTTGTTCAAATCACAACACTGTTAATATGGCCGAGACGAAGCAATTGCAGGGTCTTGCGGCTACTGGAGTAGGGACAGTCGACTGTGCACGACACAATTTTAAGTGCCCAAATGGTGTGGGGGACCTACAAAAAGGAGAAAAGTATGTGTGTCGTACTTGAGAAGCTGCTCTGACTAATTGAATTTACAGGTATGTTAATATGGACTATCTTTTCTTCTCCACCCTCCGCGACAAATGTCTCGATGCTCTGAATGTGTCCTACGACATCGCTTGTCAATGGCACAAGAATCTATGGAGTCGCATGAAGTCACTACCTGACTCGCACCACATATCCTACTTGGATGTTTGTATCCGCTTCTTCGTCCCGAAGTTCCATCTCCCAGCGCACATCAACAAATGTCAAACCGTCTTCTCTTTCAATTTCACACGCTTTGTGGGTCGCACAGACGGGGAGGCACCTGAACGGGGCTGGTCTAATATTAATCCAGTTGCATCAAGTACTAAGGCAATGGGACCAGGCTGTCGTAGGGACACACTCGATGATCATTTCAGGGACTGGAACTGGAAAAAAGTCATCAGCTTAGGTATGTGATTTATTCTGACTCATTATTCGTGTTTGATTAATCATTGTGGGATCAGGCACATCTCTCGCTCACAAAATGCAGGAGGCGGTAACGGAAACGGCCGATCACGAGGCTGCATTCCGGGAGTTCGATGCTGCAATTTCCTCTGACCATAGGTCAGCGTGGACGGTTGAAATGGAGAAATGGGAGGAAAATCCCAATGATACGTGTTTTACAAACCCCCTCGAGCACAAGTCAATTCGTGAGTTTTGTCTTGGCCTTCAACGCATATCTACTGAACTATCCATTATGCAGAAATTACCCAAGCTGCGGCCCGTCTGAAACTTGCAGAGATGGAGGCACAAGAACTTGCTCATGGGATTGACCTATCCCTGCATCCCGACATCTCCCCGAGCGTTCTGATCGCATCAGGATTAGATCTCGAGGAGGAACAGTAAGTAGCTGTACCTAGACACCAGACGGAGGCAACTAACACCCCAGACAGACGTCGTGTGAGAAGAACATTTGAAGGGATGGGTCTCCATGTTTCCGATATCCAGAAGGGCACGCTTGCGTGAATGAGAAACGTACTGCGTCGTAAGATCGAAATGTGGAGAAGTGCGCAGGTCCTGTATATGCCTGCGGTACAGATTCTCACTTCTACCGTCGTTCCCCGCCCATCATCAACCATCCGATAACGCGGAGGATATCAGCCTGTGGCTACCATCTAATCTGAAAAGCAAACCGTGTAATTCCCCACTTCGTGATCACGGATGGGACTTGCGGTATGCCCAGGCCCATGATTCACTCGAGGAGCTTCGACAATGCCTTTGTGTGCACTGCTCTATGCTCACCTTCAAACGCGAATGGGTCCGTGGTCAAGGTTCTAACACCCGTGCTCAGAATGCACTTGCTCGTGTGCACGCATGGCAGGTGGCATGTACGTGGAGATATAGGGTCGCCTGGGAGGCACTGAACATATTGGCGCCTTTGCTGAAGAAGGAGAGATGGCAGGGACGGCTGCAAGACCTAAAGGACGAAGATGTGAAGCCGTTAGTGGACCCGTTTGGCAGAGAGACTGAAGGTCGCCGTCGGCTCACATGGATCTGGATGATGGCGGGGGTGGATACTGCTGATGATGGAGGTGACGTGGATGGTGTTCGCGTGGAATGGTGCAAGTCCCAAGCAAGAGCAATGCGCTGGGCGGAGGAGGTACAGCTGTTACGTGAAGAGATGCGAAGGGTCTTGCAGTTTTTAGATTGGCAGGTGAATTGGTGGGACGAGCAGTGGGACCAACACGACTGTGTGACGACAGCGGAACACGAGGGCTTGGTATCATATGCCAACAAACAGGCAGACATTCGACGTCAGCTCGCAGTGCGCTTTAGACTGCTGTGGGCCACTTACCTTCCCCTATCAGGCGCTGTACCCCCACCAGATGACTTCACGGAATTCCCCGACCTCATGCTGCCTGATCTGTAGTGTAACATTAATGATGTTCTATTGTGCCTAGTGCTTCGTCGCAATGAAAGACCTTCTGATTGAGTTTTGGTTGCCGGAGGATAAGTTTCATTTGCCGGAGAACAAAAATATTCAGTAGCCGGAGAATTATACGTATAGGGAGGCTGCTAGTAGCTGGAGAATTATATGTATAGGGAGGCGGCTCTGTCTGATAGTTAGCCTAGTTTAATGCATTACGAACAGGCTAACTAGCATCATTAATGCAATACTTATGTCTGGTAACTACCAGACTTAATGCATTACCCCTACAGGATATTGTGATCAAGCAGTTATTCATAGGATTCAAGATCACCATTTCCATATATCTGCTTTTAGGAAACTGGAAGCAGGGCAATAGCATCACGGAATCGGGCTGGAGATGCTTTAAATAGATATTTATGCCAAAATCAAATAAAAAATGCGCAGATTATATCCAAAGACAGAGTATTGTAAAAACATCAGCATTATAACGTCAAACAACAATACATTGCAAGAGGACTTCAATTCTGATGAAGCATCGTAGGTCTCGCAACTGTGACAGTCAGCAGATAAACACTTGAAGGAAGACCCGCATCTCTGCAAAATGATGGTCACCCGCTGTACGAGCTTGACTTCGTGGTGGCTGTTTGTAATCAGATGCAGTCGGCAGACGAGAGCTACAGTATCCTTATAATAGTTATGCATTATCGTCATCCCTCACCGTTGTGGAGTGTCTATGCAAATGCTTTGCAATATCCTCACAATATCCTCGCAAAATTTACGTTGTACTGAACGTTTGAACCTGGGCCAGTGAAAACAAGACTTACAAAAGCGAATTTTTCACCTAAGAAAAAAAAGCGCCGCGGTATGATAGAAGTCAGCCCTTGCTCATGATTGAAAAAAATCTCCCGGAAGATGAGATCTGCAGCCGAGCGACATGCTTGTGAGGTATCGAGCGTTGAACACAAGGACATAGAATATACATTAAAACCATCGAGGTATGAGTGTCGAACACAAGTACATAAAATATACATTAAAACCGTTGAAAAGCAACTGCGCGGGTGCGCAAGGAACGAAAGAGCAGAAACGTCCAAATCGGCATACAATGTACCCCGTTCTACATGCCATAGGCGTAGCTCTGATAAGGATCATTCAATGACCCGGCAACACCGACCGTGCCAAAAGGGCTCACGTTAGCATATCCAGCAACGCCCGTATAGCCAGTGGCTTGGGTATGAGGGGGTGTCAGGCTCGTGCTATGAGGAGAGGTGCCTTGCAAGACATATCCGTCGATCGAACGCGCCTGAACACCGTGCATTTGGGGACCGAGGCGAGAATGGCCGTAGGAGCCTTGCGCTTGGATACCATACAAGCCTCCCTGGGCATAGACATCAGCAACACTGGTAGGGTGCATTCCCTGGGGGATGTACCGGGCCCCTGCATTGTGGTGACCGTGACCATGATAACCGGGGTTGCCACCGTAATGGCCAGAGTTGCCCATGAGCATCATGCCATAAGGGGCATGATAGCTGAAGTTCTCGACGTTGGCCTGTTCCCGCTGCAACACGGTTTGGATCGTAAGGAGTGTTGCGGATTAAGGGAAGGACTGGGCGAATGCTTTTGAGGAGGAGCATACGCTGCGCAGGATCGGCATAGTCTAGCGCGGTCTACAAGAATGTCCAGCCCAAGCGACAAATGCACAAAAGAAAAATGGTACCTGCACACAATAGTTGCCATACGAGTCGCGAAGTAGTTTCTCCAAGCGGGAGCGGTTGAGTAGCTCTTCAATCGAAATTTTCCTGGTACTGTGTTCGGCCACACAAGATGCACCAGTCCCAGTCGGCATGAAAACGTCCATCAAGATTTAAAAAAATGCTCACTTTTTGAACGAGCGCCAACGCATTATAAGTGATATCGCTCACAAGCTGGATGCGCTGGTGGTCCGAAGCATGGTCAATGCAACGCTGCAGAACCCAGCATCCATGGGGGTGGGTAGCGACCTGCCCAATCAGATGTGGCGCGATGATAAGTCAGCTCGCTCGTTCAAGCATCACTCACCTTTGATAACCTCTTCTCGAGCGAGGGAACCCACATAGAACGCATAACTGGTGGAATCAATAAGATATTTTTATTGATTGGGGTCCGGGGCGCTGATAGGTCAATGTTCGGGTTGATCGTAGTGCAGCACCAAGAAGGATGTTTCTGTGATTGATGGCGGGAAGAAAGGGTGTTGTCGATGGTCGCTGCGTCGAGAACTCGAACTCAACATCCACTGGCAAGTCTTTCAAACTCCGATTTATTTACTGTCTATGATACTAAGTCGAGATCACCAATCGTGACTCGTTGTCACACGGGAGAAGCACTGAGAAGCAACGAAGTTTTTAGAATGAATATGAAACGCTAAGATATGATGAAGGAACAGCTAGAATCTCCCTACGACGTACAGAAGGCTAATATGCATCGTTCGCGGTCCGTTAGCCATTAATGCGTTGCTCCAATACAGGAGTCGTTCCTCGTCACCGAATCAGGCCAGGACCGAAACTGGCTATCGTCAACGGAAGTATGAGGCCCGCTCCAACAACGAGCGCCAGCACGCATCCAATCCTTGCAGACAAAGATAGTCCGAATTCAGCAGTAAATACACCTGCCAGAAATCCGAGGATGGAAAATCCCAAACTGCAGTGGTCCCCGTGAGTAATGAGACATTTTGATCCAAGTTTTAATTACCTCGTCAGGTACAAAAAACTCGGTATACTTGCGATGATAGCAAGACTGGCCATCTTCTCCTGTAGATAATACACCTGTCAAGTTGATAACGTCAGGCCCGTGTTACGGAAAATGAAATCGTTCGAACCGCAAAGTCAAGGGATCTTAACCTGTGACCAAAGTGTTGTGCTATTGCGCACCCGATAATACAGTAGAAACTGAGAACGAAGGAGATAGAGCACATCGTTTTCGTGGTAAGTTGCGTGCCCAAACCTGGGACAGCAAGGATGCTGGCGTTGACGGCCATGATGACACTTGCCTGTCAGAGCAGACGAAGTCATAGTAAGCATGTTCATTTAGGTCCGCGACAGAGCACTTACCACGGTGGTTTGAGCTTTAGCCTGGGCACTGAAATTGTCAGTAAAACTCCTTATGTCCACCACATTCACGAGACCATCAACGTAAATCGTTTTAAGGCGTCTAAGCATCATCAATGGAATCCAAAGCATGGCGGCTGCAGCGCCAGCGATCAAGGGAGAATCTTCGAGGTCTCTGCGTTTTTCGGCCAGTGAGTGCATTCGTATCAGGCGAGCTTCGGGTTGGCCATAATGGTTCAGGTATTCGTGATGACCTGTTTTGATCGCTTGATTCAATGACGTATGGTATGAGAAAACGGGATCGTACGGAGCATATGCAATATTTTGCCTCGCGAAAGATAAGTTTTCTGATTGCCAGCTACCTTAAAGCTCACGCACCACATATTGCAACACCTGGTCCCTTCATGGTCCCATCAGGTTCTGCAAGTTCCTCTGTGTCAGTCATCAATTTGATAATATTAATGTGGGTTGAACGGTGAAGATAAAGGTACGTGCCAGCAATGATCAGCTCATCGGTCATTTCCTTCATCTGGTCCAGAGTCCAGAATATTGAAGCCGCTGTTGACTGTTCAATGGCCAATGCTTCTGTTTGTTGTTGAGGTACTTTCGATCGGGCTCTATAACGCTAAATAACTCACCTACGCGATACCAGTTCAGCTGAATTCGCAAAGCTCTTACTTCGGAGAGGGGTATTGTGATTTCGTGAGGAAAATATTCGGCATGTTTCCTACTTCAATCAGTAAGAACGTTCCGTGTCAGTATAACAATCGCTTACCAAAATTGAGCCTCCAGTTCGAGTCCCTGTACATCAAGTCTAAGAAATCAATGGACAAAAAAGGGACGTACTTTTATGAGTCCAGTGCGATGCCATAGATTCCTGGAAAAGAAGGTAGCCATTCACTGGCTCCCCCCAGGTAATGATATGATTTTTCTGGGACGACGTAATAGTAACGATAGACTTACTTCTGCTTGCACTACGATCGGCTCCACGACTAGCAAATATCCCTTTCCGTTTTAGCTTGGCTCTTGACGCTCTGACCCAGACTCAAGCCGCCGGAGCCGTTCTCTGAACAAGTCCTCAAGTTCATTTCGGCGAATGTTTTCTTTATTAGAACAAAGTGAGCGTGTAAATTCAAATACTAGCCCGCACTCACCATTCCCGCATTGTAGTTGTATACGGCTCCTGACGGGTGAACCAGCTCGGTCCAACCCCCGCGCATCTCGGACCTGTTGATGCCGCGGTTAGATCAACATCGTCAGTAACAAAGGTTACCAACTGAGGCAATTCGATCTGCATCACGTCGATGTCATAGTTGCGCTGTAGAGAATCCCTATGTCATTGTGTGAGTACTCCGTGTTCGTCCTGTAATATTGACGACACTCACGGTGACCGTGCCATTTCGGTGTACCGCCCGAGTTGTGTAGGCCAGATAGGAATACTGCAATCGAGCAGCTGCGACATCTATCAAACAATTCTTTTAGCTGGGGTCTCGCTAGACAAATAGCTTTAGAGCTCGCGGTTGAACAAAGTACGTACCGTCACCGTCGTGGCCATCGTTCGTTCAACATTCACACGATGATAGTGAGGTATTGATATTTTTATATTTCACGCCACGCACGATTCTGATCATAATACCTCCGCTCGGAACAACCCTGAAACCAGGGTCCATGGATATAATTAGCGAAGGCAGTTGGAGTGATCATGAGGGATATAGGATATAGTAGGTGACATATAGCAAGATCATTATGGTACTGTGCTAGTATGTATGCAGGCCTATGGAAAAATCAGACCGATTGTGATCTTGCGCGGAATCTGATATGTGCTAAATTACTGTACAATTGTTGTAGCGCTGAAATGTGGGGGGATTTGAAGATCTATGCTACAAGCTGGATATCTCATGATGGATGATGGATATATGGGATGTGTCAGGCCCTGCTATATGCGTAAACGCCTAAGGCGTGACAATCATCCCCGAGTCCGAATCATTATAGCTATGTACATAGATGGCGTGTGTGAATCATGGTTGTGCTAATGAAATTCGCGTGACGTACCCGAAGCATTGCTCTCGCTTTATTCACAGCATGGATGAACGTTATCTTTAACGTCACGACCGGACGGCGCGTGGGCGGGACGGCGACCGATTGAACGGGACGCTGTATATCTCGGGTAAGCCATCGGTGAGAAGTTCCTGACAGACTCACCGAATCGAACCACAGATCAACTTGCGTCTGATAGAAATCGTTAGTTACTGTCGCTGATTACAGTCGTTACTTACCAAAACTTTCCTGCCTTTCAGTGGCAGCGATCCTCTACAGGCCGCGTGGTTTGTGCGGGACATCTGTGTTATGATATGTTACGATGCGGGGTTTGACGGTTCGACAGGGGCTATTTGCCGTAAGTAATGCAAATGGTAGTTGTCGTGTATTGGCGTGGGTAAGGCGGGTGATCAATTGTCTATAAGCGGAACTTCAATTCTGCCCAGGTTAATTTCTAACTCCGAATGTATCTGACTGTTTGCCGAGGTTTGCCGGACGGGAATACCAGCCAGCCGTACTTTGGGCCGTACTGTTCCGCCGATCAGTGACGTAGTTAGCTAAATAAATATTGTTTAAGTGCTGGAGCGCACTCACCCATGGCATGATGCGAATTTGAACCTCTTGTGATCGTATCTCAATACCATGCAGTGTTTGACTGCGCTGCCAATTTCGAGCTCTGTGCGATGTGTGCTCTTCAAGCTTCATAGTCGGCCAATAAACGTTTAAACTTGTTTCCAGAAGACGAGCCAAAATGCATGGGATTACGGCTTTCTGGGCATACAGGACAGCTCCAAAGATTGTTATACATGGATTTAGTACAAGATGGCATACGAAAAAAGCGGCGCCGTACGTCCTATTTACTTGCGCGAGAATGATGACATGGGCAAGTCCCACGCGACTCTCAGAGACTTCGGGGAACTAAAGCCGTTGCTATTGGGAAGCGCGCCAAACTGATCAGAGGGGATTGGCTGAACAACGATAGGCCGAACGTCTTCCAGGACCATTCGCCTGTCACCAGTAGTGTCAGAGATAGTGCTTTTCGCAAGTCGCGACTTTGCAGCGATCTGAAGAACATTAGAACTCCTAAATGTAGATCATGATGAGCTAGGTAAAACAGTGCACATATGAAATTTACGTTATGAAGGGGAGACTCCTCACGGCCTCCGAGAACGTTGGATACATGTGTGGGTGCTCGTACATATGGTCTAGAGCCGCCATGATAATGGCATTCATCGGCGCTGGTTCCAGGATATTAGCGCTGGCGTCGATATCGATGTTCACCTCGACCTCGGCCTCAGCTTCGTTTCCGACCTCGGCTTCGCTCATGATCTTCCTCTTCTTTAATTCATCCTTCACCATGAGAAGTAGAATATGGTAAACCTGACATATTGATGCAAATTTCGTTAGTTCGATACAAAAGGGTAAGGGGAAGAAAGACTTGCGAAAGTCATTAAATTTCCAGCCAGGTGTTGGGCTAAACAATTGAACCTTGACAGAACCTCTTCTGGAAAAAGGTCGCCGATTCTTCCATTGGAATTTCCATCCGATAACCCGTCGACAGGGTACAAAAGGGACCCCCACAGAATTTCTCGAAATACCTGGTGACTTATGAGGTCCGAAATTGCTTGCTGGATCTGGAAAACAAAAACGCTTGAGGTCAAATTATGCTAGTTGGTCTGCAGTCTCTTACCTGAGAGGATTGGCCCGAGTTAAGAGCCAGAACGAAGGAGATAGCCTTCTCGATCGTCTTGGTACCGGCAAAGTCGGGGTGCGCTGACATCGCACCTTTCAGGATTTTTCCTAGGTCCGATTTGGCACTGGAGAACGACTTAACCAGCTGCTCAAATTAGTTCCTAGGAGGAAGCGAAAGCAAGGACAAGGGAAAACATACACTTAAGCGAAGCACAGGCCATCCAGCAGACACGGTTTCGGTCTCTGAAATCCTCGCGATCACTGATCAAACTGTAAGATAGCGACACATAACGAAACACCCAAAATGCAAGACACCGACCTGGGTGGGACTCCATGTCCTCGTAGGTCTTGTGAGTCATGTTTAAACTAGTGAGAAAACAAATCGTTATCAGACGTCGCATGCTTGTCGCAGAAATCCGAAATGGGTTTCCGGAAGCTCCGGTCCACAACCCGCCTATGAGCAAGCACCTTGTTAGCGTGATTATTCGATTCCAGGGCGTCCTCCTCATGTAACGAAGTATTTGTGAGCGGTTGTTCTTGTCCACGCCGGTATTGGTGGAGTCTCTCCATTCCAGGCTGGGATACATGGTGTGTTGCTGCTCACCGAAGGCTAGCTCGAGTTGTGTTTCATTTGTGTCCTCTGGAATGAGATACTCGTCAACGGCGCTTGCAGAATAGCCAGTGGAGTGGTCGTAGAAGTTGAAGTCACTGTATGCAAGATCAGTGTAATCCAAACATGGCGCAGACGTGCCAATGACAGGCATTTCAGCAGCATGTTGAAGGACCGGATCAGCGAGACCGAAGTGCTTGAGGGGTGGATGTCCCGATGAAAATGGCATAGATGCGCTAAAGGAGGCTGTCTCCACAGCACACGAATCAGGGACAACGAGATGCTCGGGAGGTGGATATCCGAATGGAAACGGAGCATGATGGAATTGTACCGATGCGTTCAACTCTGGAAGCTATCAATGTGACGATGAAGACATGTATGATTACAACTAAATAACAAAACTCACCAACCACGAAGGAAGCGCTAAGCCTCTGACACCTGGTCTGCAACAGGTAGAATTGATTGATCGAACGTAGGCACCGCTCTCCAACTGATTTCGCAATTGAATAAGCGAACTGTCTGGGGAGGCGAAGCTCTCACCGTTGTCGCGAATAAATTGTGGATATGGTGCATATCCCCCCGCCGGGGACAACTAGCGTTCCAACCTGTTGAAGTACATGAATCCAAGGCTGATCATTCTCGAATACTTTGTCACACTACGAACGAATCAATACGATGAGAGAATTATTTGATTTGAGGAGACAAACTCACATAGATGGGGTAGATGTGAGTGTAGTCGGCCAAGTATCCGATGAGAACGAATTCTGCCCCCGTAAAAGTGACAAACGGATGCTAAAATCGCAGGTTAAAAGGAAACAACGGCTGCAGCGCTGATGGACGGCGACGAACCACTTCGTTCTAGAGGGAAAGATTCAGCGGATGATTTGTAGTATAGAGCTTACTTACAGTGAGTTGTATGAGGCGAAGAACGGAATTCCGTTGTGGCATGTATAGCCACACATTAGACATTGACGGAACACTGTCCATGATTAGGGTAGCAGGCAAGCGAATTGGCAACAAACGAAGACCAACCATGTATTATAAAGACTGGCCATGCATTATCAATGGCCGGAAATCAAAGATGGTCACAAGCGAATAGCTAAGAATGCATGGTAGGCAGGGGCGGTGGGCGAGGCGGTGGGCAGGAATGGTGGGCAGACGTGATGGACAGTCATGAGTAATGAAAATTGTGCCATCGAGTAATGTAACACATACTACTTCACATTAAGGCCGACGAGGAATTCAAATCGCGCCCATCGACTGGCGTCAGTTGCTGTGATGTAACATTAATTTTCGTAATCAAAATCGAGGGTGCAGTCCATGAACATCTCATCTAGCGCCTCGATAATCGATTCCGTGCTCGCATTCCTTTCTGGCCCCAAAAAGCACGGCTCCT